ACTTGCCAATATCCAGAGCACAGATCCAATGAAGAGAAAAACTCCGCAACTTGAAGGCAATCCAAAGCGTCAACGATGCGTGGCAGAAGATAAACACCCTTGCGTGTGATCATGTTTAGTCGCCGATAATCCACACAAAACCTAATGAAGCCATCCTTTTTTCGCACGAAGACCACTGGCAAATCCCAACGACTGTGTGAGTGTTGCATGACACCACGTTGTAGCATCTCATCGGCCTGTTGAATGATGACGTCACGCAGCGGATTATGATGGCCAGTGTTAATATGGTGAGCAACGACTGGCCTGCGTCCCTAGGGAGTTTGTCCGTGGTCGAAAGTAGCGCGGAAACGGTCAAGTAGTTGAATGAGCTGATTGCGCTGGTCTTGCGTAAGCCCGGTGTCCACGCTGCGCAACAGAACGTCTTCGTCAGGTAGTGAGGGTACGGTGGCAACCGTGACAGCATCTACGGACAGACATTGGCGTCGTATAGCAAGGGGCATCGAAAGGAAAGATGGCATCATAAGCGTCAAGACGCTCAATGCATTCGCCATGCAATAAGGTAGCGGGACAAGGGAAAGGATCGCACACGTATGCGGCACTGGAACCATCGGCAAGCGTTGTGAGGGCAAACGGGACGACAAGGTTCCGGCGAAGAGCGCATTCATGCGACGGCATAAAGAGGGCAATTGAATCAGGGACGGAGTTGCACAAAATAGACACCCCGGTGACCGAAAAAGCAGAGATGACGACGTCAACGACGACGATTACCTTTTTGGGTGAGCAAGGGAGATCTATGAATGTCGTGCTGAACAGAAACAAAACAAGTAGTGCACGAGCGCAGTCGACAACCGCATGATCAGCTGAAAGAAAGTTCCATGCCAGGAAGATTTCATAAGACGCACGTGGAAGGACGACAAATTCAACGATGTAAAGTACCCTTTGAATTACAACACGAGCAGTGCATGTTGCAGAAGACTGGACGTGCTGCGAACTCGCTGTCCGTAAAAAATGTCAACCAGTGGAGGAGTCGTTCACTTCGTTCAGTTTGTGGCATAACACTTCATTGATTACACAAACAGCGGCACCAGTAGTCGACCAGAGCAGTTGTGGCGAAACCGTCCGCAAACACGGCAGTCTCGCTAAGGGCGCAAAAGATGTGGCGTTAAAAATTCTGTCGGTGGCGCAGTTCTCGCCTCAGGAACTGCGACTGCTAGTTTTCCTCCTAGGCGTTGTTAGAATGGCGAAGCATGGGAGAAGGAGACCAGAGACGGGGTGAAGAAGATCGACGTGGGCTGAAAAGTCTGGTCGACGTGAGCGGGGGTCAGGTGCATCAGATGTAACATGTGATTCTTATTGCCGAGGAATGTTGCCGGAATGCTAAGCGTCATTAAAATAGAATCGGCGGCGACGACAATAGCGCGCGACATGTCCTGGAATACCACAGTTGTAGCAGATGGGCCGGTTATCCGGAGTACGCCAAGAGTTGGCAGGTGCTCGAGGTGGTGGAATGGGCCGATTTACCGGATAAACTGAAACCGGTGACCTGTAGTTGTTGGTGGCTGGACTGTATGAAGGGAGCGGCGGTTGGGCAGAAGGTCGGCGGACGGCTTCTGCATAAGTCAGCGGTGCAGCCACTGATATTGGGGACGCGGGCGAAGGGAGAGCCTCGGCAACTTGCATCTGAATAGCACGGCGAAGTGAGTGGTCCAGTGTTGTGGGGGTCTCATTCATGGTGGCCACAAGAGAGAGCTGTCGAGCAACTCCCTCCCGGATATACTGTTGAATTTGAGGCATCAATATGGTGTAGTCGGGGCCACTGCTTTTGCACTCTAAAGCCGAAATATCCGCTGTATGCGTATTTGCGCGGTGTATAAAAATTCGCTGCTTGCGCAGCTTCATCAAAACTTTGACAGAGGTGAATCACGGCCGTGACGGTCTGTGGGTCTTTAGCCACAAGCATATGAAAAGCGTCATCGTCAATGCTTTTCATTATACGCTTTATTCTGCCAGCCTCCATCATCCTCTCATTCACTCGCCTACAGAGTCCGATCACATCCTCAATGTAGCTCGTGAAGCTCTCACCATTTCGTCGAAATTGTCCCCGCAGGCCAAGTTAAGCGCAAAGTTCGCACATAGCTGGACGACGGAAAAACGGCGTCACGGTCTGTTTGAAAAATGACGGGTGGGGATGTCGGCTTGGTGGTTAGTGAACCATAAGTTGGCCAAATCTGTCAGGTAGAAGATGACGTGAGTCAGCTTCGCAGGGTCATCCCACTTGCTAATCGCGCTAGAACGCTCGTACTCTGCGAGCCAGTCCTCGACATCGTGATCTTCAGTGCCATTGTAGACTGGTGGGTCACGCAGACGAAGTACACCAGGGTACATGACAGGCGGTAACGTGAAAAATGCTTGTGGGTGGTCGACGCGCTCGGTCATTGCGGAATCAGATGGCAGCTTACGGCTGCGGAGCTCCACTGACGTTACCATGATGTTTACACCAAATGCAACAAACGAGTTCACGTATAAGCACTTGTTATTATTCAAGAAGTGTTAGCCGCGAACGAGCTGGTTCAGGCAGGAGGCCGGGAAGCACGAGCCACCCGGACTTCAACGTCTTCTTTCACGCTGGCACAGAGCTGGCGCTGCTATGCTCCTGTAATATAATATAATGATATATATATATATATATATATATATATATATATATATATATATATATAATGTCGGTTGCCGCCAGAATAGGAGTGTAAAAGGCCCGGCTGATCCTTCCATCATAGGAATCCCTATAACACAAAAGTGAAACGTGCCTTATTAAAACTAATGCTTATTGTACAGTGATAATGAAAGCTTGGGCAATTTTTGTGGAGTTTCACAGCTATAGTAGTGTTTTCCGCCGCGGTGGTCTAGTGGCTTAGGTACTCGGCTGGTGACCCGTATATCACGGGATTGAATCCTGAGTGCGGCGGATGCATTTTCGGCGGCCGTGAGCATCCTGTAGGCCCGTGTGCTCAGACTTGGGTGCACGTTAAAGAACCCCAGGTGGTCGAAAACGACGGAGCCATCTACTACGGCATCTCTCATAATCAAATTCTGGTTTTGGGATGTTAAAACACACACATCAATCATCAAGCTATAGAATGTTTGACGTAGATACAGCCACATTCACACCTAGCAGCACGTCTCTATTGCGACGGCTAGCCAGTATAATTATCATTCAACTTTTCTGGTAACTAAGGGCTTCAACATATACCGGAACGGAACATTTTGTCAATAGTGTACATAAGTGACATCAACAAGCACACACTAAAGGCTGCTACTCGGTATGCGTGTCCTCAAAAATCATCAATTACAAAGATTAACAGCATGGTGTGCAGACCTGAAACCTATGCCAACACTGGGGAAGCTGCGCTTCCCCAGTGTTGGACGTAAGATTCGTAACTTGACCCTATATGGTCGCTGGAGTTCTTCGCCATGCTGGCCTTAGTTTTTCTTCACAAAGGAACGTCATTCACCCATTGATATTTGTGCTTTGCAGCAGTTTTTTTTAATAAGCTAGTGCTATCACGTTCGAAGTAGTCGGTGATGAAACATTTTTGGTGCAAGTGGAAGCTGCACGACTTCAAGAACGAGCTCTGACGTGTTTACACGAAGAGGAAAAGCAAACAACACAATTGCGTTGGCAACTCTCTGATGCTTGCTTGGTCAGGGTTTTTCACTGCTGTCAATAAGCTGACGACTGATTAGGGAGGGGCGTTCGGGTTCTTTTAGTCATTTTATAGCTGACAGATTGCTTGTGTGTTCATTTCTAACATTTTTATTGTGTTGGATATATAGATAAAGTAAGATTGTCATCATATCCGTTCTTTGAGTGCTTCAAAAATTGTGTTCTGAGAGCACAGTCTTGATATCATCACAGATGTGGTATTTCAGTGTGGATGTTTAGAAAGTGGAAGGCCTTGCATAGAACGTACATATGCCCGTTAGTTGCTGAATCTAATTCTAAACAACGTGTCTGTCTGCGCCATATGTCGCGAAAATAGGAAGTCTTATCGAAGGAATCTTGTGTGTGAGAGAACTTGAATGGTTCAAAATAACCATTGCGGCATGCGAGGGGAAATACTGCCGTTACGCCAACCATAACAACCACATAAATCTGAATAGTCTTAGCCTTTTACACCGAAAGCTGTTATGAGATCACAACTCCGGTCACGTGCAGTTGTCCGTCACCACCGCCAGTGTTCGTAACCCCATAACGCGAAATTAAAAACGGAAAACCTAGCACCAATGACCAGTTGGGTCTGAACCCGCGTCCGCTGGGTGCCAGCCCAGTATTTTACCACTGAGTTACTCCGGTGCTTGTAACTTGCTGTAAATGTTGCCTTAGGCAGGCATGACCTAGCACGAATGACACAGTGGGGCTCGAGAACCCGGGTCCACAGGATGCCAGCCTAGCAATCTACCACTCAACTACGGGGGTGCTTGTGATTTGTTGTCAAACTTGCCTTGGCAGGCTTGATGTAAGGCAAGCAATCGCTTAATACAACTTATAAAGCGTTTTAAATCAGTAAAGTAACAACCAGTCGTCGCACAGTGCGAATAGCAATAACGAGTGGGCCGTGCGATGCTCCAACCTACCACGTAAGCTTGTTCTTGTTCATCTATTAACTGTGGCGCATACCACTTCGGCTATATTCCCTCATCGTCGTCAGCCATTGCACGAACGATTGCCACAAGATTACTTGCAAGTGTTTAGCGGATAACCACGCTTCTCAGAGAATGACGAAAAATAGCATATTGAATGCCAGCCTAGTACCCAAATAAATTTATTAATTATGACGTAGTAGATATCAAGCAAGTGTGCTTGCAGTAGTTACCCAATGAATGTTTCTAAAAGGCTCTGAAAGGCCGCTCTTCTAGCTTTCGCTGTGACGGTGCTGCGCCTTCCGTGCAGGCCTGGTATTTGTATTTTTATACAGTTACTTTTGATGAACATTACTTACCAAAAGGGTCCAAAAATTCTACCGTTCCAGGCTCTTGTCCCGCCTTCTGTGGCAGTGGTACCTCGACCCTGTAATTATTGATGTGAAATCTTATCGTCACATCGTAGCTTTGCATTTGAAGCATATCTTAACTCATCATACAATACATGGCGAAAAGTTGGACGATATGCATCAACCTCTGCGGTTGCTTCACTGATTGGGAATAGCATTGTGATGCACAAGTGACGATTAGATTCGGTTACCATTTGTAGGCAGCACATTTCGTTTAACCAAAGTTGGTGCATGGCAATGAAAAACGTAGGGTACCAAGGGGACCAAAAACAGAAGGGTTACACTTAAAATCTTTCGAAAATATTCTTTTTTACTAGAAACATTACAGTTATGCATATGTGCTCGAACTATAACATCCCTATTCATGGTTGCAACATTTCGATAACAAGAAATATAAAAACATCCGCATCGCTGTATTTACTTGCTCGCTGGAGAACCCAAGCTTACTATACAGTTTATACTTGCAGTACCATGTGCAGCGCGGTGATGTCTTCGTTTTGGTGAGTGCAATCTTGAGATATGTTAATCGTTTAGAGGTACTGTGCTCGAGGTAACAGACAGAATTATTGACACATAATGAATAACGGCTTTAGCGAATTCTCTATGACTGCGAAGCATAAGCAGAAAAAATCAACGTGGTTAACTTACATATTCATTCATGCCTCAACAAAATGGAAGCTTATATCAATCAAGAAGCTAGCTTCACTTGCTGGCGGTACCTTGTGGCATCGCAAGGAAGGTATGACATATTACCACATGAAATTTGGCTAACTTTCTTCGCAATAATTCATGCTTTAAAGCTTTCTGAACATTTGAATGACGTGAGTGTATGAACGCAATGACAAGCTCACGTGCCGCACCTGTCAGGGGAATCCGGGGCCTGAAATATCCATACGAATGTGGCTGTCTTTGCAACTGGATCAAACTCGGTTCTGTTCGCTTCCATGCATTCAAATATGGTATCATTGTTCGAGTCTGTGACAGACACAACATACGGAAAGCTTTGAAACACCTGCAGGAAAAAAAGAAAGATAGTTGAAATTCACATGAATGACTAATCAAAAAAAGTAAACAGTACCGTGTTGGCTTAATTCGTCACAGAAAGTTACGTGCTCACAGCAAGAACGAGTGGAGTGATACTTAAGATTTGAAAATCATCGACAAAGTAATAAAGGGCTGAGATAGAAAACTTTGAATTACGGTTTTTGGATATTTGAAAATGTTGTGCTCGACATAAGCACTGCTTAGCCATGTCGCGAGTTCTATTCTAGTGACTTCCAATGAAACACTAATGGGCAGTAAATGCTCACAAAACACTCATTATAGACAATTAAGTGGCAGTGCGTGTATTAGTATATCATATGTGATTAAACAACTTGTAATAAAGCTACCCGCAGGTCGCGGTATCGAATGCCAGCTGCGGCAGCTGCATTTCCGATTGAGGGAAAAATGTTGTAGGCTCGTGTGCTCAGATTTGGGCGCACGTTAAAGAACGCCACGTGGTCGAAATTTCTGGAGCCCTCCACTACGGCCTCTCTCATAATTATATGGTGGTTGTGGGACGTAAAACCCCACATTTCAATCAATCAAATCAATCATTATAACAGAGCTAGACAGTGTTCAGTTATGCCCACTCTGCAATATTCCATGACCACTGCTGTCTGCTACAGAGAGTATATGTGTCTAGAATATCACCCCGTGACGAGACACCACCACGCACGCAAAAAGTCACAGAGCTTTTCTGTGCGTTATTCTATTAAGTGAAACCAAGAAGGCGCTTCTTAAAATGGGTTGTTGAAGAGGGAAGGTAATTATCGACTGGAGCATATTTGGTGGAAGGATGGACAGGACCACTTTTGGTTGAAGCATTTTCGGTTGAAAAAGGGAGGAGGATGTGTATACGAAGTGGCGTTTAGGTCATCCAGGCCACACTAGTTACTTCTCTTCCGAAATTTTGTGCAGATGTCACAGCTTTTCCTGCGCTAGCTTCACCAGCCCCTCCAGCATCTGAATACTCGGCACACTGATATACATTTTTCAAGTCGACTCGTCGGTACGTGTCCTGTCACTTCATCTCGAATATACCTGTGCGCAGGCTGGTTGAGCATTGTTTCCACCACAGATTGTTGCACCTACTTTTGCTGTCGCAATAGTTCTTGCCAGTAGCTACTGTGTTCTAGTAACGGAAGAGTTACTACAGCACAGTAAGTGTCTTGTGAAGTACGGCAACTTCGAGCCTAAATTCAGCAGCTTCATTAAAGTGTCTATGCTGTCAGCACTTTGTCAGTTAAATCAGCTGACACGGAACAGCGTTCGCAACTTAACAACATTGAAATAAAAGATTTGAAATAAAAGAAGGAGGAAAGAAAGATTTGAAATAAAAGAAGGAGGATTTCGCCATCATTTTTCAGGTCCTTATGGTAATTGATTAAAAAAAAAGCTTTACACATACGAACGGCATTAGTGTCTGTCGAACACAATGAACAAATAAGTGCGGAATTTCGCAATTCCACGGCCTATAGGTGGCGCACCGTACAGTCCAATACGGCTGTGGAAGAATGATCAACACGCGAATTCGCATAAGAATAAATAGAACGCACGGACGTACACCCCGAGCCGCTTTTACTAGATGAATTCTTGATCATCAAAACAATGTACATCAAACCAAAGTACTTTCCCAACCAACAGGAACTGCTGAATTTTCGCTACCTCATTTCTTGCGCAGTGCAAATAGTGGTAGTGTCAGCTGATCGACGATGTAGCAACGATGCTTTGCGTAATCCTGTGCACTTTACAGTAAACTGCGCGAGCTTGAATTCACGTAATAACTGAACGGCACTCCGAGAACATTAGTACCGAGGTTGTCGGTCGAATTGGCCTCAGTAGTAGGCCCCCAGTGAGTAGCGCCATCGCGGCTGCACAGGACCGAATGTTTACCGTAGCGATGGTTTGCAAACATATTTTTCCGTCGTCAGTACTTGCGCTGTAGACATCATGCAGCTGCTTCTTTAATGGAACACAAGCATTCAACTTCCCATTGGGTAGCGCTTGTGTGACAGCCACGACCAGACTCTAACAGTGTGCAATTCCCTGCACTCAGATGTTTCAGGTTCCATCAGCTCATTATAAAAAAGGAAATCGATACGCGTACGTCTTTCGCAACGTCAAAATTGCGAAAATTTGTCGAACAACGACGTCGTTTGGACGGCACCGGTGAAATGCAGGAGAAGGTAGCGTTAAATGTAGTCGTTACTGCATGTTTCATTCCTCTAACCATTTCACTTCGCTGGTCGAGCTCGAGCGGGTTGGCGCCATGCGGCGCTTTGTAATATCCACTGTAATTGGGAAAATTCATTGGACAAGAAAAACTATGCTTACATTTTGAGCTCACTGAATGATAGTATACAATAAATACACCCAAAGTGACTTACGAGCCTGAAATTACATTAACGCACGAAAGGGCGTGATGTGCAGCTCTCTGCTTGTGAGCTACCAGCTGATGGTTCATCGTCGCTGTCACTCTCAGCGCGTTGACAACCACCTACGTCCAGTGAAAAAATCTTCGACGTCGAGACGGTTTCTTCGAAAATCACTGATGAAATTAATCTGCGACAATCGCTCCACCAAATGACTTCGATTGCACCAACAACGCGTTATTTATCACGCACAGCGCCCACATTGCGAGATCACCAGGTTTAGCTGAGCGTGCAAAGATCGTTTCGCTCCGATACTCGGCAAGAAAGGAATCGCTTGCAGGGTGCCGCCATCTATTGATGAGTGCAAAAAAAAAAAAACAACCAGCGCACTGTAGGCCACGGTTTAGAAACGCAAATCGCAAGTCTGCGCTGCTTTTCGTGTACAATGAATGTTATGAGATTCATGCACTTCAAAACACTGACGAATGCTACACGCACGTAAAAGAAAGCAAGTTATAACTGGAATGGCCAGACGTTAACATTTAGTTATGAAAAGTGGGTTCAGAAATCTTGCAAAGCTGATATGTGTACTGTGCGGGCTAAGATCAAAAGCGTGAGTTGCCACATGCTTTCACAAAAACTTCATGTCTCACAAGAACGAATCACATTTATCGTGTCACGGACGGTCTGGTATATTCACTGATGCTTGATACATACAAAGTGTTGGTTTTTGCTAACGCGTTAAAACTGCGGCTAGAATCGCTGAACAAAACAGAATTGGGGGCGTCTGCCTACTTATTATTCTTGAGAGCACGCTCCTGAATTCCGCCAGGTAGCGCGACAGTGTATGAGCATTTCAGTTTCAGGATTTCAGTTTGGACTGGCACGGTGAATCGACTTGTTTTTTGAGCGCTGCCAATTGACTGCGAAGATAAGTGGTTTTGCATGTTTTGAGCTCGCCTTTATAATTATTAAGCCAGCAGTTAAAACTTTTGTAGCACTTATTACATTGCACAGCTTTTTCGGGGGTCAGTCACTAGGTATTCACTAGTTTGTGCGCGTGTGTGTTTCTTTCTTTGTGTTTTTTCTCTTGCCACTCCATGGGGAAGGTGCACGCACATTGAACACGCAAAGTTTTGTTTGTAGTAGAGCTCAGACCTTCTTTTTTTTGTAGGGCAGGGTTCGTGCTTTGTATTTATCGGGTGGGACAAGTCATAAGGGCAATCGGTGTCAGAAAGACATGGTTAAAAAAGCTGTAAAGTGTTCAGGATGCGTGGTGGGTTTGAAAATGAACCCACGTGCAGAACCGAATGGAGAGGAGGCTGACGCGAAGTGTAGGCATTGTGAGGTCCGAGGAAAAAATGAAGAAAATGGTGTTCGCCCTGAGTGTACTGCTAATGAATCTCACCGAGCAGGAGACGGCAGTTGGCGACAGAGCAAGAGAAAACGGGGGCAATGGAAGAAAGGCTGAAGTACGCCGAGGAAGCACTAGTCGAGGAGAACAAACGGGCGGTCGACAGGAGATAACAGTAGAAAACCGACAACCAGAATGGTAGAGAAGAAAGTGCAAGCAAGTTTGGAAAAAAACAGGTTCAGTCGGTTCTATTGTCGCAAGGCCCAGCTTCAGCAAAGTAGTGGTGAGGCTGGGAGGGGACAAAGCAGCTGGCGTCACAGGTGCAAGTGACCCCGAGGTGCAGGATGCTCCAGCTGATTAGTCACAGCTTGTGATAATTGCCGGGGACTCGAACTTAAATCGTTGCGCAGAAGCAATCAAACAGGGCGTAAGAGGTGACAAGATGGTTGCAATAGGGATGTTTCCAGTACGCAAGCTCGAAGCAATCAGGAAGCAAGTGAGCGCAAAACTCAAAATACAGCTGATAGAAGAAACCTCGTGATAATTTCAGGCGGTTGAAATGTCTTAAATGAAGATACGGCAGGAGTAGCGACCGCACTGGCGAAAGGGGTTGAAGACATGCGCGCCGCTTCCCCTCACATACAGTAAGTGATATGCACGATACCGGAGGTATTGGTGTGTGACGGCAACCTGCAAAGAGTGGTTGTCAAGGCAAACAAAGAGATATGGTGGATAAGTTAAGAGAAAGGCTTTGAGGCGGTGGAAATAAGCAGAGTGGTGCATATGTGGGGTAGTTTTCAACGAGACAGAATTCACTTCAATGGGCGGCTACATTCTAAGGCGAAATTACCCGAAAAAGAGCAACGGAGCCCAATAGGCGCACGCGATGAACGGATAGACCATTGAGGAGCAACTACTGAGGGAAGCGTGCTGCGCCAAACCAATTACTCTCCAAACACCCTCTACTAAGGATGAACCGCCCGGGCTTTGCAGGCAGCGCGAAAAGTGTTGCCAAGGTGACCATCCCCCCTTCTGCACAGAACACTTGTCCTACTCCTTTTCGGCTGGCTCAGTCTTTCCCCGTATTTAGCCGGCGACGGTTCACGCTGCGTCGCGCTCGGAGTGCTCGACCACGATCGGCGGAATTCAACGATCCAAGAATTACGACGTAGTGCTTGTGTGTACGCTTGAATGAGCATGGGCTGCTGCTTTTGCGTTTCGCTGCACCCATAAAGTATGGAG